TTGCAAGAATAAAAACGTTATCTTATCGAGTGAATTTGCTACATTAAAGGTCAATCTTTTAAAGATAACCCGAAACAAAAAAAAAATCATTATTTATTTTTTGCCGTATCCGGTTACACTGCGTTGATTTCTTTTTTAATGTTTGTGTAAACAAAATTTATCGTGAATCATCCTTTTTCACTTCTTTGGCAACGATGTGATATTAAAAAAAACTTTTAAATGTTATCATTCTCAAGGGCCAAAAATTTTAGTCTACTTTGAAATGTAATTAATCGATGTGCTATATTTCAATTCTAAATGACAAGTTTAACAGTAATCTAAATCTCAAGTCCAAACATATAACATCAGTGAAATAATTAAACCCCCTATAAAAAAATTTGAATTTACATACTGAATAAAGGGAAATTATTATTATCAAAAATGTGTTAATATACTACAGTATAACAAAATAACAAAAAATATAACAAAAAACTGTATCTTTGAGAAGAGAAGAAAGCATGATTATTTTATATTGATATAATAGTACATGTAATTGTAAAATATGTTGTCAAAAAATTAATTGAAAATGAATATCATTTAATTTTAAGATGTCCAATTTACAGAGATGATCTGAGATCAAAGAGATCAAAATATCTAGGCCAATTCCTATGGCCAACTGTACAAAGATTTAATAAATTAATATCTTTAAAGAATAGGAAAACCATATTAAATCATGCAAAATTCAGAACAAATGCTTTATCTTTATGTACAGATACTCTTGACTTATACATGTTTATTGATAAGAAATATTATTATTGTACATATATATATGTTTGTATTTATATAACATGTATTGTCTTTGCCAAGATGGTATATTTGTAAATGGTCAAAAGCAAATGTTTTTGCTGAATGCGTATAAACTTTGAACTTGATTAATGTCAAGGACATCATGGTATATAATGTAGGACAATTAATGTAATATTAAGACGATATTCAAGCAGAGCATATTACAATATAACGAAGTGTAAAATGTCATGACTTTAAAAATGAAGTATTTGCGTAGTATAATTTTTCTTTACAATAATAAATATTTGATAGTTACGAAACAGAAAGATTTAAAAATAATACGTTGTACCGACATTATTTAGAATCGTGTATGAATATAAACCATTTACATTTATCAATAAAGAAAGACTGGATTGTAAAATAATTCATGTCATTATACAACGTGCTGTGTCAAAACATTAAGAGAGTCTCACACAATCGTACAAAGCAATTACATTTACATTTTCCCAATTTCAATTTTCAATTTTGTGTAGGCAACCATTTTGCTTTACCTAAATGTGTTGCCTTTTGAGACATCCTTGATAAAAACTAACCAAATTAAATGAGATATGTCATGAATATTATTAAACAAATACTAGTATTCATTCGAAACAACATGCAACCACTCTTTATGTGGTCACATATTTCCTGGCGCCTATCTAATTTGCTTTGATTTCATTTTGTAATCTTAAGACGAATTATGTAGAGTGTATATTAATAGTTTTATTGGTTTAAATTCTTATTAACCGTTAATATGTCAACTTGTATTCGAGTATAAAGTCTTATAATTTGTAAAATATGTCAACTTGATCACTTCAATATATTTAAGTAGCCTATTGAAATATGTAAACGTTGCGCGAATGTACCTCCTGTATGATATGCAAATCTACGATTGTAGAAGTTAATTGATAATTTAACTCTCTTACAATGTTCTTGGTAAATTAAATATTAAAGATGCTAAAAAATTGAATTTGAACTGCTCAATCTGTAACCTTATAAAACCTGTGAACAGGTCAATTTACCACAACCTCAGAAAGTTATGCCTTCAAATGAGTCTGTTTATTTAATATAAATCTGTGAACTGTTTGTCTATGTTTAAGTAAGCATAATAACAAAGACCTTCGAATGTTGTTCTTTTATCAGATTTGTTACATAAAACGAGTATCTTGTACATGCATAAACTTGTGTGTCAAAATTGTGTGATGTATGAAATATATTGGACAGTAATCTAATAAAAGAGCGTCCTACAAACTAGAAAATATCTGCGCTCTTTGAACGTTCATTACAAAAGTTATCGAGGAAAGCCGTTTGCTAACCACCAAATTCAAACCTGTATTATAAAAAAAGAAAGTCATACAAACAAACTTTATTTAATGTTTATATTGAAGCAGAAGTGCATTAGTCAATAAAGAAAATAGTTTAATCCTGAATGAATTTGTATAAATTAACAATGGTTAACGATTTAGAAACAAAGAGCAGTTTTACTAACTTCAAACAGTAGATTAAATAGCAAGACAGTATTTCAGTAGCGGAACATTACATCATTAATATGTGTCCCACTATCTAAATGTACAATCAACATTGCATTAATGAATATAAATGAGTATGACAAAGCTTTTGTTTAGGAAGATTTCAGTACATATCAAGGTCATTACTCAACAAGTGTAATGAAAAAACTTGCTGTCAGCGATCGAAAGAGATAATCTTCCATATTTGGTTAAATGGAATCTTAAAACTGAAGTCTGAATATTGGTTTAAACTGGAACATTGTTTATCATGTTTGTGTATTTAAAGCGAAAAACACTATATCTTTTGCAAATATAAGTGTAAAGAAAGATAAAGAGTATGTTCATAACTTGAGAATTGATGTCCTGTTGAGTCGTCTGATAAGTTTTAAATGTCTAGTTCCCCTTGACATGCATTGTTTTCAAATATTTGAACTTTTGTACAGCCATTTATCAAATATAGGTCAACTGCCAAACATGCGCACCCCAAACTTTTAAACTATGTCAAAAAACACGTTGGTATGTCATTTATATACTTAATAATACCATAACGTCTTAATTATACAAGACGGGAATCTATTGTGTCTCACATATATTTGTGTAACATTTTGTCTTTTATATCTTGTTTAAAAAACGTTTTGTCATATTCCGTCCGCTGTTTATTCTAAGCAAAGGAGTTCGGTAATGACATTTTCAATCCTTGCCTAACACAACAAGTCAGATGTCTGGTCAAAATTGTCTATTAAGTACAATTATTTGAAAGCTACCAAAGGTATCGACACATAAAACCTGGTTTACTTGATAATTATTATAAATCGCGGTTGTATTATGCTGGAAGCAATTTTCATATTTTATAATAAATGGCTTTTGAAAACTATTCAAGATGTTGTATGTATTACTAGTGGGACAATGCGCAGTCATGCATACTTTAGAATTAATTCTTGATGGGATATGAAATGAAAACTTTTGTATAAATATCAAGAGTTTCAACACCATCAATCAAAAAGTTATTTAACTTATTGCAAAGTGATGTGCATAACAGGCATAACACAATGCGGCTTGTCATTTAACACAGCACGTGTTGCTGTTGGTTCCTAGTCTGTTAGTTTTTAATTTGACACTTCTTGTCGCGTAATAACATTGCGTTACAATTTTTTTTAATTTAGATGACTTAAGCAAAATAAACTAACTAAAACAATTAGTTTTTAACTCAACTTCAGTTATTGTAGGTGTTTGTTTCAAATGATATTCAATAATGTATACAGAGCTCCTGTCAGTGATTGTTATTAAGAGTGTATAAAGAGCATACTGGGAATGTGACAATTAAGAAAATCTATTGAAACAAATTGTATTTATCATTCAGATAACATTGCAAACCTGTGATTCGAGAAGATTTTTAATCTAAACATATATCAGTCAATACTCAACTATCGCATGTTTTCACCATCATCACCATCACCATCATCATAAAATGTTTCATTGGCCATAGGACGCTTTTCATTAAATGGCACGGAAGTGTCACATATAAGGGAGATACATGCGCCCATTTTGTGCCATACTTGTCCATGATAAACGCCGTATGAACACATCTGCGGATGTTTCGAATTCAAAAATTCATCATAGGTAGCATGGACATAAACACGCACATTCCAGTAACGTCCAGGAACAGGCCCATTCAAACCGAGCTTGCAACATTTCCCAGTTTTTTTCCCTGTTTTAGGCGTTCTTTGGGGATTCTGTTTTGCTCTGTTTTGATTACGATAACAATTAATATATAATACCTACATCATCCATGCATTTGAAATTCAATTTGTTTTACAAATACACATGTATGTTTATGAATTGTAAAATATATATAGATACTACATGTATTTTGATAGTGACTTTTAGGCCCATTGGACCAGGTTTATTCCTTGATTTATATATATATATATATATATATATATATATATATATATATATATATATATATATATATATATATATATATATATATATATATTTGTATGTTTATATTGTATATAACGCATGTCACTTATAAATAGTTTACTTACTTATATACAATTAGCCCGGTGCAGTATAGTATATATATGGACATTCCAAATTTTGTATGCAAAAAAATACATTAATTTATTTTGACAGAAATCATTCCCACACTTATACTGCAAGATTGTATTGTTTCTCGTTTCATTTGGGACAATATAATTTCCCTGGCTAACGCCACTTAATCAAACAATATTTATAGCAGTCATCTACCGCCAGTTCGGTACTGTATAGTGTCAACGAAACGTTTCAATTGTACATGTGAAAATATTGTCTTAACATCGTTATTTTTTAATGGAGAGTGGAACCATTGCCTGTTTTTATCCTCAGTATTGTAATAATTATATATAGTATATATTCCGTTGCGTAATTCCAATACTCTCCAGATTGAATATTGATTTCGTTCAAGCGCAAGACATTTATCTCAATCAATCACATCTAACCGATCCAGCCGTTCGCACGTGTTAATAGTTTCACCGCTCAATTCTTTTAAAATTCATAAACTGTCAATTACACCAGCAGGTGCTAAGTGGCGTATGACAGCTGATCGTGTTTTCATTTTTTCTTGAGATCACCTATTTCAGGTTTAAAAGTGTTTTTATATTATATTTTCGGTCCGTGAAGATCGTTTAGCAGGACATTGTTGTGTTTAAATGTTGAATTCTGCTTAAGCCGGTGCTAGAGGGCGTGGACGGTAACTTGCACTTTCCAGTACCGTCCATGAACAGGCTCAATCCAACCGAGTCTGTAACATTTTTAATTTCGTCATGTTGGGCTTTTTTTAGGGATTCTGTTTTTCTTTATTTGAATGTTTGCTCAAGGGCATGGGAGATTTGCATGTACATAATCAGTCAAAACTGACAACTATGTCATATTCACTTATCTTGCTTTATTTCTATTCATCTCTTTGGAACTCCCGTTTAAGAATATCATGAAAAGGTTTAAAAAGTAAAACTAATGGTAAGGCACGGGACTTTAGTATAACGATAAGTTGAGTTTTTTTTAAACAAAATATGTGATAGTTCTTTGTTTTCTTTACCCCATTCCTAGAATTACTTCTAAAACTGCGGAAGAAATAGAAATGGTTTCAGTATCTTTTTTCTGACTTCAAAATATCTTGATATATTGAATTCGTATTTAGTTTTAACTTTGATCCGTCTTCGTTGCCCTCTTTTTCTCAACTTTTCATTTTTCGTTTTGTGCCGAGCTGAAACGAAAATGCAATAATTGTAATACAAATTATGAGTATTATCGTTTTTTTGAATTATTACGTATTTAAGCATATTTATTTTACATTTGTAATATTCCTACGTAATTTTGCTTTTTTGTTATTTTAAACGTATTGATACAAGTAGTTCCAACAATGAAATGTTGTTATCTATATGCTTAGTCAATTAGTCTTTTCCTACAGACTATTGGACTAGATTTCAACACACATTAAACATTGCATTATATAACTGATTGACAGTAAGAAGACTTATCAGATCCTAAATATTTTGCAAATATTATACAACAATACCAACAAATTCGCATAATATATTTTCACAGTTACCTTTTATCTGTTTATTTTGAAGGGCTGATATATGTCTGATGGTACATGCGCAAGCAACCGGCCAGTCTTTAATGTATGCATTTTCATTATTCTTAAATATAGGTATATCTGCAAAATAGAAAATAAACAAAGAAAATATTCACACGGTTCATTTTTATTGCGTCTGTTTAAGCAAAATAAAGACAACATAACATTTCAAATCAAATATCTTGCGGTTGAAGTAATTTGAAAAACAATGAAAACAAAGATCAACAAGGAAGAGCGGTATTCAATGAACGCATTTTCCAAAATTCAGTAAAAAGAAATCATAGAAAAAACGAAAGAAGATAGACAGTTCACAGAAACAAATGGATATACCTCTTTTTATTGGCTCGCATGCTGTATTCACATTTAGAATATTTGGAATCACTACATTTGCTGAGTTCAACCTGCATTGGCTGTTACATTTAGCCTTTGGAATAAATGCTGGATTTCTGAACTTATCAAAATCCCAACTATTTGTCCATTGACATAAAGATCTTTCACATAGTCCATGGCATCTTATGTTCGAATTTCTTTTTCTACGGCTATGTTTTATATCTATGTCTCTATCAGTCACTGAGATTATTTCCTCCGGTACGATTTTAGTTTGGAACTGTCTATTGGGTAGACGTGTTGTTCTTTCCCCATATCTACCTAAGTAGCTTGTTTCGGCATCAGTAGTTGAGTTGTGTTCTATTTTTCGTCTGTACATCTTATATTTTCTCTGAACATGCACATTAGCTGTTCTAATATTTGCATTGTTAAATTCACTGAAAGATGTATCTTTTGTGTTTAGATATACTTTCGAGGCAGTTGTTTCAAATGTATTTAGAGATAATATTATCCACAAACTGTATAATGATGCAAAACACATATTGATTCGATCAAACTTGTCTTGGAATTCTACATGTAAGCGAATACTTCCTCAATTTAATCCTTCCATCAGATGCGATAACTTAACAATTCGAATTTCACAACCAATCTTTTTTTTGTTCTTCTGTCAAGTTATTGTTTTCACATGGTAACAGACGATATTTATTTCAAGCAATGTCCAAGTGTTTATCTAAAGCGCGTAAAATTCTTTACAATTTTTTTTAAGTAACACAAGATAAGTGTACCTAATTTTGTCTATGAACGAAGTAAATATAGTTGAATCCGGTTACGTAACTTTTAAATCTGCGTTCATACTTGAAGAAGATCGTAGTTTGGTATTTATGTAAACTCATTTAATCTTAATATAGCGTCGCGCACTGTTTGAATTAAGATCAATCATATACAAAGATATTTAAAACAAGCGATGATGTCCTTGACACAGACATCCGTCCCAGAAAAAAGGGCGTTGTAAATTACAGTCTCACTTACAAACAAGTTGTTATCAATTTTATAATTTAAGGTGTAAAAACTAGAAAAGGATAAATCCTCGGAGAGCAATTGAGAGCAAATTTAAGAATAAAAAATTGCAGTATACTATATGTTTTATATATTGTTGTTGAACAACATACGTATAGAAATATAAACGCTACATTTTGTTTCTAATTCTTTTCACTAGATGATACTACAGAAATATGACAATGCATTGAAACATGCATCATTTTATTTATTTATTTATTTATTAAATGCGTTGGAGTGAGGCGGGGCTTATCAGATATTGCAAAATACCAGCTGACCAGTAGTGTTTTAATCCACGAAGCAACGGATGCAAATGTGAAGTCCTTTTGTTATATTGGAATAATATAGTCAATTAAGAATGTTGTAATAGATGCAATCTCCTTTCAGAAATAGTTTTCCCCTCCATATTAGTATATTGTTTTCATTACCTTATATTTATTGCCATAGAACTCATAGATTTATATATTTGTATTCCTTGACTTTTTATTCCTTGACTACGTAAATTGTGTTGGACTGAAGCTCAGTACTGGACGAAAATAAAAAATATGAGCCGCGTCATGACAAAACCAACATAATGGGTTTGCGCAGTCTGATCAGGATCCATGCTGTTCGCTTATAAACCCTATAACAAGTAGAGAAACTGATAGCGAATAGCATGGATCCTGATCAGACTGCGGATGCGCAGGCTGGTCTGGATCCATGCTGGTCGCAAACCCATTACGTTGGTTTTGTTGTGACGCGGCTCATATATAAAAATATCTGTTCTGTTTCATACTGCTTAAACATTTGGTGCAGTATTTAAATTGTTATCAATCCTTTATAAATTATATATATGTATTGATTTTGAAAGGATGGGAATTTAAAATACAACTACACGTCTTCTTTGCCTGCAAAAACTAATACAAAAATGGTCTAAATATACCCAAACTTGTACATACATCGGTATAATAAACTAAATAAATTTATAACTTACACCTGGATGTAATATTTTATAGTATTATATTGTTTAATATAATATTAAATTTTGCATATTCAATGTTGAAAAAAATTATCAGACTTTGCCGTGTTTAGTAATTTATGATCCTGATAACCCCAGTGATAAATTGCGCGTGTAATTCACTTTTTTGAGCATGTGACTTTGGGACAAGAAGAAGTCATCATTAAAAATAAAGTATGTTATCGAAATATGCCCCGTTTTTCATCACTCGTATTACCTTGCACCCATGTGTTCGACTGACCTTCTAAGTTCAATTATATCATGAAATGATCTTAATCATAAAATTTCGATTTGGAGTGACTTTGAATTATATTGATGTCCAATACTCATATACAATTGCATATTATTACTATTCTGTTTTGTAGCAAAATTTGTATTAAAACTTAGTTTAAACATAGAGGAATGAAAAACAAAAGCAAACATATTTTATTGACTATTAATAGTTACACTCGATTTCTGTATTTTGCGTTAATATCCTATATTCATTTTAGGAGCAACATTTCTCATAGAACTCGGTTCGTTTCTCTTTTTATGATTATTGCATGAAATCACGGGGGCAATAATGTATTATGTTCGTACACATGATTCCTTTTTAACCGTCACATCCTTAATTATTGCAAATGTAGGTTTACTTTGATGGCATACCCGAAGAGACCCTTAATTGTTAAGCGTATTAAAGCAGCTTTTAAAATGCCTTTATGTTATGGATTGTCCGGGTCAAGGATATCTCTCCACGCACATAATTTATCTTGGTTAAAGTTTTTTATCACGTGATAAATTGAGTATAAATGGTGCAGTTTAAATTGTCAAAAGAGTTATTGTGCATTTGATGAATTTCAAGTATGTGACAGCAAAAATGCAAACAAAGATTACAGTAACTGATCTAGGCTTTTTCTAAATCCGCAACAGAATGAAATATGAGCAACACTTGAGCATAAATACCTTGCAGAATGTATAAAATGTTAACTAGTTTATTTCTTTAAGCTATAACTTGTACAAGCACCTATTGACTCTTGGTCAGATAATCTATAACTCTATCCAGATGAAAACAGAAATGAGATATATCATTGAATGGCGATCAAAAATATCCTTACCTTACACGCAAAGGTGGTGCAGCTTGTTCGCAAACTATGATATCATTTCGGACAGATATTTTACTACGATATACAACTTGAGACACAAACACTAGATATGAAGCGGTTCTTAAAACTCCGGATATCCTGATTCACAAAATTATTCTTAGATGTTAAATGATCAAAGAGAGGGTTATCCTTGAGCAACTAAGTATTCTTAAACATGTCTCTTCCGAGAAGAACACAGTACCAAGAAGTTTAAGAGAACAGATAATTTGTCACATATTGCGGATACTGTATCTTATGTACTTTGTCATATGATTGCGTATAACGTATAATTCAATAACAAAGTCGAACTCTGAAACATTATCATTATCTTATTTACTGATGTTTTTGAAACTTATGAAGGGACAGAAGATTCGTTCCATTTTTTTTCCATTCAGTTTATGGTTATAAAAGTAAAGTAACTCACGAATGCCAAATAAAAATATCATAATTATATGAAAACAATAATGTCACCATTTATTTTTAAACTCCGTAATAATAACAATAAATAGCTTTCGGGTTCATTTTACAGTATTTAGTAATTTGCGATGTAATTTCATGATGTATCACGATATGACATTTTTTATTACTAAGAAACAATATGGTAATTTAAAAGCTTACTTTCATATTATTTTGCTGATCGTGTATTCATTTGACTATTCTTTTATGTATTTTCTTCTTCAATAATGTAAATTGTTAGTAATTTAAATCTGCACATCTAACAAAATTTATTTAAGATTTACATCATTATACTTACTCAGTTATATCACTTGTTACTCAGTCGTATCAAAATAAAAAGATGTTTAGAAAATGCACTTTTGAAATCTATGAAATTCTTCACGATGAAATATATTAAATATGATGAATAGTAAAAGATATCAAGGTAAAACGTTTTGTAAGACTGTCATGTTCAGATTTACCTTTTCTGCTAAAAAAATCCTACACAATCAAATATACATATATTTCTTCTATGATTTAATAACTAAGGTAAATATTTATGGCCTTCATTCGAGATAGATATTGCATGTTTATTCTACAATGCAAAGAGAGGGAGAGCGCGCGCGGTAATTTATTTATATACGATACAACATATAGAGCATGTTTATTAGAAAAAGCTATAATATCTTGCCCTTGTAGCAAAATATATTTTTTTATTTTACCAGTTTATTTAATCCTCTTACAAATATATACAAATGTACCCGCGTGTGCATTTCAAGCAACCGTGCTCAACTTGATTTAAATATATTCCTAACTTGATTTAAATATATTCCTCATAAAGTACATAGTGCAAATCCTTATGACTGTTGCATTGTTTCAAATGTATAAAATTGACTTGATATCTTATTCAATTGCAAATCATAACTGTTTAACTGAACTGCAGTGTATTCTAAATACACTACCACGAATCTTATCTCAAGTGTCATTGAGAATGACTTTCATATAGTATTCTTTTTCACATCAAGCTGAAAAACACATTTCATTTAACGATGATTGTGAGGCCTGTGATAAAAGTAATTATGATATTAGAAATTATCAACACTTTAAATGCAACTTTAAATCTTACTGTAGTAATGAACAAATATTTAATTGGGAATATGGACATATTTAAAGATATTCTTCAGGAACAATTACTTTTTGAAAAAAGAATAGGAAATGACTCTGAAAGTGTTAATTCGCTTAAAGATCCGATGGTTCAAATATCGGATATTTTCAAAACGAATACTCGGGACAAAGTAAAACGGCAGAAACGATATACCTATATTTCGGACATGCCACATAATTCGGATATAACGGATATATCGAAGCGTTGCTTGTGTCCCTGGGAAACAAAGTGGACCTTCGATAGTAGAAGAACTCCGGTATTTGTAGCAAAAGCTATATGTGGTAACAAGTGTAATCTTAATTTCACAAGCACACAACTGTCATATTTATCGGATGTGTTGACTTCGTGTGAACCTTTCACAAGAGGTATATTGTATAACAAGTTTAACTTTTAAAATTTCAACACGAAATAAACGTTTGATATTGTATTTACGTAAGAGCCACTTTAACTGAGTTGTAATATTTTACTTCCTCGTTTTATTCAAGTATGTAAATAAAAAGGGTAACAATCTAGTTCAAACATGTGATGACTGTATGCTGTAAATTAATAGTTTTTACAAATGTAACAGTTGAAAGTTCGTTTTTTTTTGAATAGCTTGTTCAACATATTGGCCTTCTCCTGATAAAAGATACAAAAGATATCAATTTATGTAAACAATTAATGTATTCTATTTAAAAAAATTGCATGAAGTACTCCGACTTGGCACAAGTGTTTATCATTAAGTATTTCATATGTAAATGTTGCTCAGAATTTTATGGAAGTGTAAATATTCAGTAAATTCAGTACATTCAACGCCGAGTTTAACACATGTTTGGTAATGTGGGCGGCTCACATACCCGAATAACGGGTTATTTCAAATTTTATACTAATCTCACATGTTTTCTGAATCTATTGGCCCTCTCCTGATAAAAGATACAAAAGATATCAATTTATGTAAACAAATAATTTATTCTATTTAAATAAATTGCATGAAGTACTCCGACTTGGCACAAGTGGTTTATCATTAATCATTCCATAAATTTAAAAGCATATGTAAATGTTGCTCAGCTTTTGTATGGAAGTGTAAATATTCAGTGAATTACTTAACACATGTCTAGTAATGTGGGAAGCTCTAATACCCGAATAATGGGTTATTTCAAATTTAGTTCTAATGTCATATGTTTTTCTGAATCGGCGGTAGAGGACGAATGACCATCAGACACAATGCCCTGGAGAAATTGTCCTCACCCGCTAACCCGACGACTGAACAATGCAGCGTCTCCTGGATTAAAAATCTGATGCTCGAAATTTTCTAGTTTAATAATTATCTTATTTAAAATTACTAGACTGATTAAGTTTCGCTTAATAATATTTAATCAAATGTAGAAATGAATCATAAATTTCTTAAAAATATGTTTTAAATGCTTAAGTAAAACTTTATGCTTGTTATGTTGTTTTTGTTTTCAGATATTCGAATTTTTAAAGATAATCGGGAATCTTACCTTAGGAATTGGCCAGTTGCGTGTTTATGTGCCAACAAGCTGAGATCTATAATTTCAAAACCATGCAAGAAAAGATCAAAGAAATATGGTATTATCCTTTTGTTCTAGTACTAGTAATAGATATTAGCAAACCTTAATCAAAATTATTTTTAAAGTGTGTAATTTATACAGTTCTTTTTTACTTACTTATTTATTTATTTTTATTATTTTTAACCAGCTTGAATGCAAGTACATAACTGACAGATTGTTACAAATTTTCTGTTTGACTCTTCTCATTCTGTCACTTACAGGAAATTGTCAATGTTATGAAAGTTAAAATTGCTTTTTATTATGTAAATAGTAATACATCTTACCAATTATGTTTTTAAAAGTAACATTATTTATGTCGTTTAAGGCAAAATCAGCCAAATAAGATGCTCAGATGTAAAGAAGAAAAAGTCAACGAAAGATAAACATAAAAAGCGGCGTAAACAGCGACGATTGAAAAAACGGCGTAAGAAGCTTGCACGACAGAAAAAGATCAAAAGGAAGCAAAAGACCTTGCGACCGTTCCCTCGTTTTCGTCACAGGATATTTTGATGCATAATGCGTTTGGAAAATAAAGAACTCAGGGTTGGTCTGTGTCTGAGCGTGATTCTTTTGCTTGAAGATGAAAAGTTTCACTGTTAAATCATGATATAGTAAAGGGCGAGGGCAAATTTAACGACTTACGATTTTGATCATGCAGATTCAACGATTTACGGCGCGGGTTGCGTTTCTTTTACAAAAGATAAAGGATAATGCTTATGCATCACGTTTCATTATGACTATGAAAACACATGGCAGCTTTTTTGTATGCAACGTGTATAGGAAAAAATATGATTAAGTTAATTTTAGAATTATGTTACTTAAATTTTAAATGATTCAAAGGACGTTTTCATGCATGCATGAATATTAATTTGAGTTTGTCCAAAGATTTAAAAAAATGTAAAGACTTAATATGCTGTCAAAATCTTCATCAAACTTTAAGACATTACATTCCGGATATTTTCCAAGTATAAAGGATTGAAAATTTATATCGTCTAAGGAAACTTTTAATACATCCTGCTGCTATCTTCATATCATTACATTAAGGACCTGTTCATGGAACGCTTTATCAAACCGTTAATAGGAAATGATATTTAATTTATGAATAAAGTATTACAATAACATTTTGAGTTCAACAAATGAGCGATTTATATTTCTAAATTAATGTAAATTTAGAATAGCTTTATTATTAGTAAGCGAGTACAAATAGCGTATAAATGTAATCTAATGTGCCGGTATCAGAATAAAGTATTTGTGGCGACATGTTGAAGTTATTTTTGTTCTTTACATGCCTGATATTTAATGGTTTATCAGTTCTTATAATCGCTATGTAGATACAAAAATGCTCTGTTTTCGTCTATTTTTTTAATTGATTAACTGGCACTAGACTTATGGGATCCGGACGTTATTGACGTTGATGAAAAGTCAATAAAAAGTTGTATAAGACTTTAGTGACAATTAATGCCGCCGCCGCACTAACAATTAATGGGTATTTAATTAATCATTGCCTCCGATTACGATGAAACAAACATGAAATCAAATGTTTTTTTGATTACAAAACCAAGTGATTATCAATAATTATTTGATATTAAGATCTAGTTTTAGATCTACTTTGTTCATAGTTTTTGGCAATTGTTTGTTATGGTTAGCCTTTAAGTAGGGACATGACGGCCGAAAGAAACATAAGAATCTCTCACGCTAGATCAACGAGAAATTGCGTAAAATCGCCCAAAAAAGATTGGCAGTGAAATCGCCCGGGAAGGGATTGTCCGCGATTCTAGAATATCTATATAGTCATTGGTTGCCCTGGTTTAAACAAAAGAACACATGGTGCATTGAGTCACAAGTCACTGGACAAGACCACCATATAAACTAACACTTACAACAAATTGTTTCTCTCTCCCTCTTTATGGTGAAAACGGAGTTCTGTACAGCTTCCAACATAATGAAATAAAATGTTTATCTTGTGTATAGGAGTTCAAGTCATATAGCAACTGTATTATCTTTAAAGCGGCTTCGTTAATGTATGATGGATGTATATGTAAGCTATTTAACATAAAAAAACTTACAAACTTGGCTACAATTATATTACTCCAATAGCAAATGTATTATAATAATATATAAATTTGTAATATTAATATGGAGTTGTTTCAAATATAACTGTCTGTACGTTGTCACATCTACCATTGTAAGATAAAAGTATTTTAAACGAACATATAATATACAGTTTGACATTTTTGTTATTAACCTTAACATCCAATTATTTATTATAGAAACCGGAAGCTAAAATGAAGTTCAGTAGATTGTAAGCTGTTTTACATGATTTTAAGGACATTTTCTCAGCAAGTAATTAGCATGCGAGGGTGTAAGACACTTATATTTGACGTGGATTTTAACGAACTATCAGTTGTTAAAGTTAAAGTGGCGTGGGACAAAACTTTTAATTAAAAAGATATATTGTGTTGCCACTTAAGCTCGCGATTACTTCATTGTTCTTTAAAATACATTGATGTAATAGCTATATTTATATAATGATACCGTTTACATATTAAAGGTACAATGTAATTCTCACTGGCAAGTATTTTAGTATACCTATTATATACTACTGAAGATATATATTGATATCAATATATCGATATAGATAATTATGTATGTCGACTTATTTCATCATGGAACATCTAGTCACACCGACAATGAGCTTTAATATATAATTTGACTGACTAGCTTTAATGGCGAGATCTAAAGTCCCTCTCGGGGCATTCTCGAAATAAAAGGTCATGTCAGCATTCAAAGTGGTGATAATTATGTATTATGGACCTTCCATACGTTATTTGACATGGAAAAAGATCAAAGACCCTGACCTGATTCAAACATATACGCGAAGTATTGAGGATTAAAATGACCACCAAGGATCAACCTTGTAAGATATACAACATTTATAAAGAAAATATAATGATCAATTATTTCTTATTGCGAGCTCGCTGAATATTTATATGTGTAAGTAACCATTCAGCAAAGTTAAGAACACGTCCTTTACAGTACACTTGCAAAAAAATCACGTTTATGTTCTATAAAATACCATAAATAACTTTCGAAATACCAAATTCAACTGTTGTACCAGTTCATTTTCAATTTTAGTTCTGTTTTAAAAGTGTTTCATACAAAGTGACCTACGATTCTAACTGAACATAAATAGACTTAACAGCTTATTGATAAATAAATGTCGGCTGATACATTGTTCAACCCGATAACCTTTTGCGAAATCTTTTGGAGAAGAACTAGGGCGTTTATACTCTTAAGTGCCCTGTTTAAAGATTGAAAACTGGGGATTTGATACACTAGATTGTCGGGTATAAATCTGTACTCTATTTAACCCGTCAAATATTTTCATGAAGATAAAAGTGTGTTTATATTTCTGTCGCCTTTACGTATGTACATTTTCCGGTGTTTAACTTAATTTTTTATTTCAATCGTGTAATAATGTACATTTGAATTGATTAACAATATCCTTAATACGTTCGGTGTCATATTATGGATTAATAAGCATTCAAAAATTTTATGGATTAATACGCATTCGAAAATATGTGGATAATATCGTGCATCTTGCTTATATATGGAATCAGTGTTATCGACAATGTGAACGGGAAATCTTGGAAGAAAACTTCCTTATTAAGGAAAATTGAACTCGCAAAATCCACTGGTAATGATAGTTGTTTGACAAATGAAAATGACAAGCGGGACAACACATTTAATCCGGTTTTACAAAATGTTACGTCATTATTTGAATATTTGAATACCGCGCATCGTGATTCATCATAAGGTAAAGCGCTCTCGGAAGAAGCGACAGTCACGGCAAAGGAATTGCGCAGGTCAGTGTGAAGATTCTCTGTGTTCTTGGCACGAGGAATATGATGAAGAAAGCACGAGAATCCCGCGATTTATCAAGTATGCAGTATGTGACAGTGCAACATGTAACTTTGGTTTTGGTGGCTTAGATTTCCGCACGACGTATTCTCTTCAAGTTCGTACACAGTGTGATCTGGTTAAAACGGGTAATTATAAAATATTTGTAAAGATCGAGTCTATTTTCGTTGTTTTATAAAATAGAGGATATTACTGATTTCGGTGATTATGTGGACGATTTGCCTTCGAGGTGATATTTTTAGATTTTTACTTAAACAGAATTGTCCGACATTTTATTGAAATTAACTAGACATTACCAAACTGACAATCATTGCCGCTCATGGCAATCTTTATAAGTTGAACGTTGCATTTTTGCTTTACCTTAAAAAATTTGTCTATATAGATATCCTTGTTACGAACACTGATGATGGCGAACAGAGATGGATAACTAATTGGCCAATAGCTTGCGTCTGCACAGAGAGGTTTGCAGTTCCTTCAGTAGTGTACCGTCATGAGGGCAGACATTCTGGGCAGGGTAAGTCACCTAGTCTTATCTACATTGATAAGAGGATTTTAATATGATAAATGTATCTTTAATCATATGAGGTAATGAAAACAACTAGAAATATGAATCAGAATGTTGTGAGGAGGAAGGCATAGAGGGTGAATTAAAAAAAAAGCTGTTAATCTGAAATAAAAGCCTGAATAAAAGAAACCTTCAAGTTTTCCGCGTGTTATTTAAGGTACAAATTGGTCATTTATGGAAAAATACCTACCAATGAATGCTTCGGAATATGACTGAATATAGCTTATTCCAAAAAATAAAGTCAGCGTTCATGACATGATCCGAATCCACAATTCAGCCAAAATTTTAGGGAAGTGTAGTAATTACCATTCAATCTCGCCATCCCTATATATTTATACCAAATTACATATACTACGCTCGCAAGATTCTACAAAACAGTCTGATTGTATTTATCTTGATACAACGTTATTGACAAAATGTGGATTCCTGCACCTATATTAAAAGTTGCTTTTTCAGCATCAACATGATACATGTCGCAGAAGCACTATATGCATGTCACGCGAAATCGTTTGAGTGAGAAATTAAGTTAACATGAATATAGCGCGTTCTACTGTTTTCTTAAGTTAGACCTTTTATGTTGACCATTGTCCCGTTTTCCGATAAAAAATGTGTATGTATGAAGGTTATTCTTTAACGATATGTTTTTTTGTTTTATTCAAGCAGCTGTTGACGTTGACATCACACACAATGTGCCACTTGCAGCAGTGTCACGTCAGCAAATCATTCTGAATGACGTCAGACGCAGACCGTTAACTCACTCACAGAGACGCAGGTTACATAATCAACAACGTCACATGCAACGCGTTGAAACGTGGGAACAGATGATGCTGAGGAAGTACAACAGAACATAAGTGACACTGCTATGTAGTCATTTTTTAAAGAAGGAAAACAACTCCGACTCACCTTGCCCTTTCTACGCTAAAAAATTGGACTCCAGAAAATAACATATATAGATCGATATAAATCTTTAAGTAGGTTCTCTTCATTTCTGAGACAACTCATGTGATAAACAGCAGTGGGTTTTCTATTTATTCATTTTATTTACAACACTTTTACAAACACGTTCACTTGACATAAACTTGTTCAAGTTTAGCTGTATTTCAAACAATCAAGAGCGATTAATAGGATGCCAACAGATTAAGCTTTAAAGCCTTTTTACAATTTCATGCAAAACTCCCCCGGTGAGGGGAATGAATAAATCTTCAAAATTAAACTTAAGAAAAGTATTTAAGTTACCATTATATATTCAAGAACCGTGGTGAAACTACATGTTAATTTCTACCCCGTTACCAACGGAGTAAAAGGAATTTCTACATATTGTGACAAGTAATATGTTATTTCTTTTGATAGTAAGTACCTTGCATTTATTGTGACTCTTTTCAACATTTTACTGATCACAAATCTGGGGTTAACTTCTTTAAAAAATGCAAAGTAATTTCCAAGGATTCCCACAGTTTGCCGCTGCTCTGTTACAAATACAACAAAAGATTAATATTAAACGAAAATGATCAGTAAATTCTTCGCTTCATGTCACGACAACCGTTTTCTGGTGACCATGGATAATGTTCTGGTTGATATGATTTGAAATGAATTTGAACAAGTAAAATAAACATCAGTTATTGTAAGCTATGTGTCTTTGTGGTTCTTGCATTTTCGTGCATAAGAAGGAAATTAAGTTGGGTTTTCATTTATTTTCTGAGATGAAACATTTTGCTAAAATGCTTTGCACTAAAAGATCATTAATGGAAATGATCCCCTGAGCATGTCGTCATTTTAACATAAAGGCTGCGAGCTATTGTCCGGAAAGTAGGGAAATAATTTATTAAAGGGGATGTTTTTACCTTTTATATATAATATCTTGATCTTTAACACATTCAAGCATGAAGAAGTGGCAAGTCGTAGCCGGTACTTTCACCAAACGCAAAATTTCGCGTATGTGTGTGTGCGTGCGTGCGCGCACGCGTGCGTGTGTGAGTGCATATTCCTATCGCTAGAGACACAAACGTGCGTTTTCAACCTACGGTGTGGACACATTTTGTGCTGTGGACGCCTGAGCTTGGTTTACATAAAGAGAACACATCCAAACAAGTCAAAAATGGGTTTTCTTTCCTTTAAACCGGGAAGTACTAACTGACGTTGTGAACCAGTGAAACGCACACTTAGATTAACACATTTTACAAAAATCCGTGACCACATTAAAACATTATTTTCTGCAGAGACTGTCTCAAGGGTAATCACCAATAATTGGTGATAAAATCCCCCATTTATAGTTTAATGAACCTCATCTGACCTCTAATGAAATGTAACGAGTCCTTAGCAGTATCATATAAAAAAGATTTATTGCAGTGAGGTAATATTTCATGCGGAAAAAGGTAATTTCATTGGGATTTTCTTTCTTTTTTATTCTTTTATTTATTTATCATTAAAAGGTTTAAATGATTTTCATTGATCAATTCTATACCTGAATTTGTTCAAAATTCTTTATAATTTTATAACTTATGTAAGTTTTATGTTTGCAGTGTTCGTATTATTTATTTCTTATACCGTTTACTTTTTTAAATTTGAAGAGTTAATTTCTTATTTTCAGATAAGGAAAAATTAATTAGTCGCCCAAAAGGTAATTTACAAATTTACACAAGTAGTTTTTAGGTACTGTTTTAAATAAAAGATTGTAAGTTATGATATAATTATGACTAAATTATTGTTGTTTCTGGTAGCATTTTTTATTAGAATTATGATATCTGATCACAATGATATATTTAAAACAAGTAGAAACTCGTATATATAAGATATATTGTTTTCACCTAGAAGTATATTCTAAAAGTATCATCCCGCTCCGTACACATGTAACATTATTAAATAAGATACAATGATCCATTTTGAAAATATTAATTTTATATTTTTTATTAATTACTAAAGGCCCATTATGCCTCAGCCATACCCATTTTTGCTTCCACATGGACAACTGTTCTTAAGTGCTAGAAATATCAGTAATCAAATTAGAAAAGCTTGTTGATTTGAAGAAGGACTCGAAAAGAAGCTATATATTTGCCATTGTTAAAAATTAAATATGTATCAATAGAAATCTAATGTCACAGTAGCTTATTTTTTCACTGTAACATAACTATATAATACATTTAGAAAACATACATATTAATAATGAATTTTACTTTAATAAGGTAAATGTCAAGTGGTTTACCTTTTACTTTTATTGAAGAAATTGAAATGTGTTAAATATTTCCTCTAATTTTATGGATATTTTAAACAGTAGTTGTGTTGTTTGATGCAACAGGATACTCTTACACGTATACATACATGCATATTTATTCAGTAATATGCTTAAAATGTACATTGATCTTCCATATCATGTAACCCTAGATAAATGTTTTAAAAGAGATATTAGGATTCTTTATAAATGCTAAGTGAACACAGAAATGAATGCTATTTCCTGTTGGAACGAAATGAAATATAACGACACTATTTGGAAGGACGATTACATGATTACATTTGTTAGAAATGGAGCATATTATCTACAGATGAAAGTGATAGACAAATGTAAATGAAACAGTTATTTCATCAAATACTCGTATGTGTATAATGTCTATAGATACAGTAACAAATGAACTTTTACATCCACTATTGTGCTTTATTCATTATTTGTATCATATTACACGAGCTAGATCAGAACACTTAATGGAACAATTGTTAACCGGGTTATTATGTGGAAACACTAATCATAATTATGATACCATTCTTATTATTGATTATTTGCTATATTTAAAACGGTGTCCATCTTAAAAACTGTATTCGTTTATGCCACCACCAAGTGTCATCGTGATCAGGAGGGGAGTGGAAACAGATGTAGATTTTATGTCTGTAGATATGATACAACTGTTTTATTTCAACTTGCCTCATAAGGGATTATAAACATATACTGTTTTAAATTAATTTCTCACCTAATTGCATGGACATTTAGCATGACTTTTATTAAAATTTTATTAAATGGCATTTAGTTTAAAATATAAAGAACAATAAATACATTTTCTGTGTAAAAACAAACATGTCATGGTGTCAAAATTGTTTTCCTTTAGTTTTTTAACTTTCTACCTTTATTGGTGGAAAATACCTCCGTGCAATATTTTAGGCACGAACGTGAACCTGAGTAGAACCACCAACGTTCCGAAAGCAAGCAGGATAGCTTCCTTTTATGAAAGAATCCTGAGTCCCTGTCGGGAATCGGGGTCACTGCGATGAGGGGAAAGTGGTTTTGAAATCAAAGACCTCAACCGCTTGGCCACGGACGCCCTAATTACTGATATATCAACCTTCTCCAAAGTAAAAAAGTTAAATTTGTAAGATATATTATAAACTGCTCGTCATGCAGTTTGTAAATGTTTGTCGCATTTTAAGACTTGAAGTTGTGAACGAAATAAACTTCTTTAAACTTCTTTATCATAACGGTAGTTGAATAAATGTTAGGGCTGAATCGAGCCTTCTGTGGCTAGCAGAAAGAAATTCGAAATCAGCGGCATGACCCGCTTTTGCAAGCATGTTTAAGTATCTGACAAAATTTTCATAACGGACTTTTTACATATTTTATTTTTTTATTAATTTAACCACCTGCTAAAATACAAAACTTTTTAATTTCTACAGTTTCCGAGTTTGATTTACATTGTCTCAGTTTGTACAAATACAGTTAACAGTTCTAAAAATTATTTTTAAAAAATCGACAATATTTCATGTTAATACGTAAAAAGAAACAAGAACAGCAATAACATTTATATAAAAAATTTAGACTGGTGACATAAATAAACAACAAGCATGTTCTTCTGTAGGAAAAAAACGTAGTAAAAATGATTTCAAATAGGTATATCGGAGATTTATTGAAAAACGCAACAAAAATTATTTCAAATAGGTGTATAGGATATTTATTGTAAACGCAATAAAAATGATTTGAAATAGGTGTATAGGATATCTATAATTGTAAACGCAATAAAAATGATTTGAAATAAGTGTATAGGATATTTATTGAAAAACGCAATAAAAGTGATTTGAAATAGGTGTATATGATATTTATTGAAAAACGCAACAAAAATGATTTCAAATAGGTGTATAGGATATTTATTAAAAACACAACAAAAATAATTCAAATAGGTGTATAGGAGAGTTATTGCAAAACGCAATAAAAATGACTTCAGAAAGATATAAAGGAGATTTATTGAAACCAAAATGATCAAAGACAATGGAATAAAGGTTGTTGAAATCGACATAATTCTTTATGACTGTCGGGCACTCGGAAATTGGTAAAGTATTATTAAGAAAATATGTCTAACTTCAAAGTGAACATTGAAATACATAATAAAACATATACGAGTTATATGAGATGTTTGCAAAAAGTTATTTCATAATTCTAGATTAAAAGCTATCTTATTGAGCAGAAAGTTTAGCGTACTAATAAAATTCTCTGTACGTCCTACTTTGCCCTTTGGGTTAAAACTGTCGATATATATCATCACCCTTATATAGAAATGCTGGCATTCTTTTTACAAATAGATTTCCAATAGTCATAACATTGCCAGTCATTCCACATTTCAAATGGGGTTTCATATCCGATTATTGCACAGTTCTGGAGGGTGTCGCCGTCAGGTTGTCCTGGTCTAAAATTTCTACAAAAAAAAGACAAACGTGTAATTCATGTAATGATCTCTAATTTAATATAGAATCCTTTTCGTTTCCAAAGGACTTTTTATTTTATTTTATTTTATTGAAATGTCAATGCTATTCTGCAAATGTAAATATAGTTTTCCTTCAATGAGATTGACATCTCAAATCTGACACTACTTAATTCATTTCTCAAACACAAAACTATTGCTAATGCCGCGTTATATAACGAAAAGATTGTGCAGATATTTCCTGGTGTAGTTTACATATTTACTGATTTGAAGATATATTTGTGCGTAGTTGTTTGGTGTATATAGCGGCATTAAACGCCACTAGAATGAAGAAAAACAAGGTCTCGTAAAAATTACACGTTTACTTTGACCAATCTATATGTAATGACAAAAATTCGAACTATCGTAATAGGCGAAACGGATAATTTTAAGTAACTTTTATCTAATATATAGGGTGGGGGAAGCATAGCTTGACCGTTTTGGTTAAAAAAGATATAAAAAAAAAAACAATAATATTTTCGTTTTAAGCGGATGATGCCTGTATTTTAATGATTGATAGTACACACTGTTATATTTAATAATGCCATATACTTGAGTTGACGAGTTTGAGTATTATTTATTCACAGTAACATTCTTCGTATATGACATTTGCTGTAAACGTTGATAAACAATTAACAACGCTGTGTATTGCTGTAAATTTTGGAACCTGTTTCCGTTACTCGTGCCGACCATAAGTTACCATGCATTCACTCAATTTTAACATTCAAACGAGTATTCATAAGTAAGTTCGTGAATAAAGCTTATTTTGTACAAACCATATACAGAAAACTCCGCTTATAATGCTATTCACTGAACCGCCAAATTTATATAGATATATTCGGATATCGTTATATCCAAGAGTTAACCTATATAAAAACAAGTGTTGGGACCGCGTCAACAGCGACGTTATAAGAGGTATATCGTTATAAGTGGAGTTGGTATTTGGCTCAAGAAGAATGAATAACATGTACCATAAAAATGGAATCCATAAAGAAGTCCTACAACGGCAAAAGTATTATTGCAGTCGTTCTTTGATTAAGCCTGTTCATGGAGCGTAGTGGTCAACGCTACGGTCTACACTTACTAGCTCCGGTTAAAGCAGTCTGGATCATCTATACATGGCAATCGTTAAAATTTTTAATTCTTAAACATCTGGAGATAAGTTCATACGGTATTGGCATTAGACGCCTTTGTTCCAATCTTTTTCCATGGTGTAAATAAATTTCGTGTGTTGAGTGCTTAAATATATGTCACGATTCAGAACTGTTCACTCTTTAGAAGAAAAGATGTGTAAGCGGCCGAATAGCTCAGTCGGTAGAGCCGCGGTACGGTTTTTCGAAGGTCCCGGGTTCGAGCCCCGTCAGGTTGCACATTTTTCTCACCCTGTGATATTTGGTGCCAAACGGGGGCCGTGATTGAATATAGCTAAGAATTAAATTCACATTGCTCTGTAACTCTGTGAAATTCGACGACGAATTTCAATATAGAAAGGTAGTATGTCACGGTTCGGAACTGTTCACTATTTAGGGGAGAAGATGTGAAAGCGGCCGGATAGCTCAGTCGGTAGAGGCGGTACGGTATTCCGAAGAGTTCGGGTTCGAGTCCCGTAAGGCTGCCTATTTTTCTCACCCTGTGACATATAAATATATATTGTTATGGACTAGCTTTTCTGGCGGAGATAGGCGTAAATGACACCATCTATGTTTGTTAAGTTAGTTATGAAAGCATTTGACCATTGAAACAAGATAGATAAGTATATGTACGTACGTAAATCTAGCAGATTGACCAGTTCTCAATGAAACCCATGTCCCTTCTGTCTCCTCATCAGAGTATCCAATCCACGTTCCAAAATCGATTCGAAACTTTTCAACAACAAAAGAATTTTCTGTTTGACTTATTAAGTCTGCCAAAGATGCTCCGACAGATTCACAATTAGCACGTGCTTTTCTGAACGTTTTCCTCTCATTTACATGCAAGTAACAATATGATGAGAAACTTATCCAGCCCGTTGGACAAATAAAAGTTGTCACTTTAGGAGTTGTTGTTTGTGCATGTGTCGTTGTTGGTATTATAGAATATAAAGTACTGTTTATTTTCGCCAAGAATTCCGTTAAATTTTCTATTTCTTTTTGCTGTTTAATTAGCATCATTTCTATCTTTTTGAGATTCATATTCACTTGATCTTCCATTTGTTCACTTTTCTTTATAATAGCGTCATTTATATCATTTTGTTTTGAAAAGTTTTTTGTTACCTGATCATTTTGTAAATGAATCTGATTTGAAAGATCTGACCACTGCCTCTTTAACAAATCAGTATGTTCACTTAACTGATTAGTAAGTTTTCCAACTTTATCCCTGGTCCATTTTTTCTCGCTTTCGATTCCAAGCGATACCAACATTTGACTTTGAGTCTGCATTTCAATGATATCTTTTGCATTAATATCAGTCTTCTCTCGTTTTTCTTCCCTATCCATGCTTTGAGGACACTTCTGATCCTTTAGATGATGGACAGAATCATTTAGCTTCTCGTAATTATGTTGCAACGTTGTAAACATTTCATTTGCCTGTTCGTTGTCGGTATTCATGCGTAATTCTACAAAGTCAATTCGTTTATCAAGCAACGTTAATTTATTCGTCACATTAGCATCTACAGCCGCCGTTGCAATCAACACCAGCACAAACATTAGCTGTTTAAGATACATTTCCATCATCCAGTGTCTAGCCTGGTAGATTATGTAATTTCAAATATAGAATGTTATGATAGTGTATCAAATATGTGTGTTTTAGATATTAATGAATATTCTGATCATTGTCCAGTAACATTTTGTCTTTCTTATATTATATCAGATTTACCAGACGAATACTTAGAATTTGATAAAATTTTATGGAATTCGTCCGAAAATGGGGATTTTTTAAACATATTACAAAGTAAGTGTTCTGTGTTTAACGATATCAACCAGAAATTGTTAAATGGTGTATATGATATCAATCAATGTGTGACATGTTTTTCTGACACAGTTTATGATATTTCATATTCATGTTACGGTAAGACGTATAATAATCGTCCAAAACAAAAGAAGCGGAAATCGCTATGGTTCAATGAAGATTGTAGACATGCAAAAAAGTTATTTTGTGATGCGAAGAGACGTTATGCTAGCTTTAAATCCGAAGAAAATAAATTAGTTTTGCTTACTTGTAGGAAAAAATACATTAAAGTTAAAAAGGCGGCTAAAAGCAAGTATTTTCATAGAGAAAAAATAAAAATGTCTGATATTAGTAAAACGTCTCCTCGTAAATTTTGGAAATATATTAAAAAATTTAGAAATACAGGTGGATTTGAATCTAATGCTAGTCTTGAGGAGTTTAAAAATTATTTTAAAAATATGTCTAATGATAGTCAAAGCCAGTCGGAACGTGATGAATTTTCACAAGAAAGTCACGAAACTTTAAATATTGATTTTCTTGATAGAGAAATTTCTGTGGAAGAGGTCCAAAAAACAATATCTTCTTTGAAAAGATACAAAAGTTGTGACTATGACAATAATGTTGCCGATTTTTTTATTGATGCAAACAATGTTATATCTCCCTATTTATGTACAATATTTAACTATATTTATAATAACTGTTTATATCCTGAAGCATGGTCTAAGGGAGTTATTGTTCCGATATATAAAAAAGGTGATAAAAATATACCTGCGAATTATAGAGGTATTACATTAATAAATGTTATGGGGAAGATATTTTCTTTGATATTAAGAAATCGTATTAATAGCTGGTGTGAACAAGAACATGTTTTTAATGGTTCTCAGTATGGTTTTCGAGAGGGTCGCTCTACAGCAGATGCTATTTTCCTACTTCATGCTATTATACAGAAGGTTGTATCAAAGAAATCAAAACTCTGGTGTATTTTTATTGATTACCAAAGAGCATTTGATATTGTTTGTAGAGATAAATTATGGAATAAACTGTTACAATCAGGAATTAGCTGTAAAATGACAAATATGATAAAATGTATATATTTAAAGGTTCAAGCTTGTGTGAAATTGTCAAATAACATGAATATGTCAGACTTCTTTAATGTAACGATAGGTTTAAAGCAGGGAGAACCTTTGTCTCCTCTACTTTTTCTACTTTTCATCAATGATATTTCTGAAAATTTGGATTTTAATGCTTTGACTGAAAGGGACTTTGAACTTTTGTCTAGGTATATGATTTTATTTGCTGATGATATTGTATTATTTACGACAGAGCCAAATAGCCTACAGGCTCAAATTAATGCTGTGCAACATTATTCTAAAAAATGGGGTTTGAAAATAAACGTTAGTAAAACAAAAATTTGTGTTTTTGAAAAGAGAAAACAAACTGTATATCCTGACTTCTATATAGATAACGAAAAAATTGAAATTGTTGACAATTTTGTTTATCTTGGAATCAAGTTTACTTACACCGGTACTCTTGTAAATGCTGTAAAAGCACTGCATGAGCAAGCTCTTAGGGCGTATAATAATCTTTTAAACGTTTTTGATAATGTTAGTCTAGATATTCGTACCAAGTTATCTCTTTTTGATACTATGATTGTCCCTATATTAACGTATGGATGTGAAGTTTGGGGTGCTTATAATTATAAAGAGGTAGATAAATTACATATTCGATTTTGTAAATATATATTAGGCGTAAAGAAACAAACTCCTACATATGCGGTATATGGTGAACTCGGCCGAGTGCCTCTGTCAGTTATATGTAAAGAAAGAAGCGTTAAATTTTGGTTGAAAATTATGAAAAGTAATGATTTACATATTTATCAAATGTTTAATGATTTATGTAATAATGTAAGTACCTCTAGTTGGGCTAGTAGAATGAATTCTATTATAGATCATTTAGGTTTTTCAGATATAAGGTTGACATTTCATCCTAGGGTTAATTATTACCTTTTGATAAAATCTAGAATACGAGATCAATTTATTCAAGAATGGAGTTTAAATATTAATTCTATGTCAAAATTAGATTGTTATTGCAAATATAAAACTGAATTTTGTTTTGAAAAGTACTTAGATGTTATATTGAATGATAAGCTAAGGCAGCATTTGACATGCTTAAGATTGTGCTCACATAGTTTAGATATAGAATTAGGAAGATATAATAATATTGAAAGAAGTAATAGATTGTGCAAACTATGTAACCAAAATGCAGTAGAGTCAGAATATCATTTTGTTATGTGTTGCTCACGTTACAGTAGTATTAGATCGAAATATTTGGGCCAGTGTTCATGGCCAACTTTACAAAAGTTCAATGCATTGATGTCAAATAAAAGTAAAAAATATATGTTTAATCTAGCAAAGTATATAAAAGAAGCATTGTGTTTACGTCAAAATACCCTTGAAAGTTTACCTGTCTTCTGATCGTATATTGACTTCATTATTTGTCTATGTTAGTTATGTATAAAATAGTCTTTGCCATAAGTTTTTTTTGTTTGTTTGTAAATGGCCAAAGGCAAATGTATTGCTGATTGCCAATAAATAAATGAAATGAAATGAAATTATTTGTCCTTTCGAATGAAATATTTTAAAACAAACAAGATCAACCCTTAATGTTTTACGTGCGACACTATATACTTGATTTTATAAGCTAGACTTTTCAGTGAGAGAAAATGACTCAAGTGTAATCAAAACATATTTCCGCTACTTAACATACCACTTGAATTTTTGTCTGTGATTAACGCCCTCCGTCGTTGATATAAATGCCATATTTCTACAAATGCTGCGAAGTCAGCGATTCTTCTCTTCTTGAAAAGAATATTTTTACTTTGTCGACGCCTCGAGCTGACAAAATTATCAACTTAAACGGTCCATGAAATATTGTGCTATATTAGCCAAAAATATTTATCATATTTGTAAAAAAAACTACGAAATATAAATATGTTTAAAATTCAATAAAAATGTTATTTTGTCGTTTCTTGTGAAATATGGCTATATATTTTTACTTCACGTGATAAAATTCTAAGTTCATACTCGTGAAAATGTATGAAATTTTATCATGTGTAGTAAAAATATGTTCCAATATTCAATATTTTACTTAAACAAAAACAAAATTTCCTTAATATACATAAGTCTTTTCTTTTGTTTTTTTTTTTCAGTTTTCTTAGCGTAGATGTGGGAGGGGGTTCAAGTTACAAAAAATGTTGTGGCTTTCCAACTTTATTGTCGAAGGAAGATCTCCGCCATTTAATAAGCTATTTGAAAAAAAATCAAAGTCTTTTGTGGGCTAAGTGACTTACAAGTAGACGAAATTTAAACAAGCATTATTGTTTATCAATTTGCAATGATTCTCTTCATTATATAAATTATCCCTCGTACATTGTTATCTGATAACGTGAGGCATCCGTTGCTAAGTGGTTTTGTCTAACTTAAAATCACTTACATCTAACTGGCTTGAATCTCACTAACGACTTTAGTTTCATTCCCGCTTTAACTCATTTAAGGTCATTGACTTTCATGAGATGCCCCCTTACGACAAAAATAATGCACGTACATCCATTACCTTTTCCTGTTTGAAAATGATTCGGAAAGGCCCTTTTAAAACAAATAATGATGATAAAAATCATAATGATAAAAATAAACAACCTGTAACATTTGTAAGAATTGTGTGTGAAATTTTTATCTCACTCTCACCTCTCGTAACACTTGTAACAATGCTGTAAATTATATCTATATGTATATTACCCTTTCTATTCCGATTTCAGACCATTTTAAGGGCTCGTGTTGTAACACTTGTAACAACCTGTCACACTTGTAACAATTATGTGTGTTATTTTCTTTTCACTCACAATACTCCTATAACAACCTTTAATATTTGTAACAATTATGTGTGAAATTTTCATTTCACTCGCAACTCTCGTAATATTTGTATCAATGCTGTAACAACTATGTAACAACATTGTAACATCTATGTAACCTTATTAACTCCGATTTCTGGCCATTTTATAGGCTTGTGCTGTTTACACTTGTAACATTCTGTATCAATTGTTACAATTTTATATGAAATTTTAATTTCAACTTTGGTATCATTTGTATAAATGTTGTGACAACAATGTAACAACCTTATTACATCTAAGAAATTACTAAGAAAAGTTATCATAAAAACTGTAACTATTCAAAACGAAGAAACAGTTCAAGTGTCTGACATAAAGAATGGATATGAAAAGAAAGTTCTGTTTTGCACTTGGATAAACTGCAAACAATTTTAAGCTATTTACTCAGCTATAACATAAAAAGGAGAGAAAATATACAGGGTAAATGACAAATTTAGGACAAAATCTTAACATCAAAAGGAAGATAATTCTTTGTGTATTAACAAGTATAATCAAGGTAAATGACGTCAGTCACAAAAAGAAACAGTAAGAACAACGAAATCTTTTCAGCCAGGTCCATAGTCAGTTTTAAAAAATATTTATGGTATAAAGTTTTTAGGAGTTATTAACACTAAAAATTATCGAACCTTTTGTTGCGTACATTAATGTTATCGTACCAAACTCGATCGTACACATAAATATTTGGACAACTAGACGTCAATAAATACCTTTACAAAAAGTGTTTGCTATGCAACTCAATAATGAGTATTTAATAAGTTGCAAGTAGAAAAAGTAATTGACATTCACGATAATGGCCCTTTTCCTTTGTTAATATAAGATGGGTCTTGTAATGAGTCA